GCGCGTCCCCAGATGCACTCGACATGGACGTGGACGTGGACATGGACATGGACATGAACTCAATCGCCTTGCAGCTGACAAGGCGCGTCATGCGAGCTGGCATGCTTCGCAATATGCATACGCACACACACGCACCCACCCACACCCACACACCCACACGCCCACACGCCCACTAACGCACACACACACACATGCAGACAAGCAAATGAGATTAAAAGTCAAAGCATGGCTGCCAGTGCCAGCTGCGCCTGTGGAGGTTCAACGACATATGACGCAGCGGCGCCTAATTGGATTTGCAACTGCGAGTGGCCGCAGCCCGTGGGCGTATGGGCGTAAGGGCGGGGATGTGGGGTGTGGCATGGCAGAGAGCACGACCTAGAGCCAAGATTGAGCAGCTACTGCCACATGGCTGCGTCATGCTCTGGGCGCTGCATCCGCCATGCTGGCCGCCCCTTGATGCAATCAACAGCCCAAAAAATCCTTAACTAAACAAAAAATAACAAAAAACGGCTCGACTGTGCAATACCCGCTCTCTTTATCACGCGCAACCGACAAGAGCTGCACAATGTGCTTGGACTCTCGTATGCGCAGCTAAAACATATCCTCTAAATATGTTTATATTATCGATAACTGTATCGATATATTAGCTCTCGGCTGTCAAATGATATAATTAATAATATTTGAATTACTAGAAAATAATTTTGAAATATTTGTTAATTATCGATAGCTGAGCACTTGTATACGAAAATATATTTCATCAGTTATCGATAAGTATAATTATTTGAAGAAATAAAAATTATCAGATATTCGTATAGTTATCGATATATCGATAAATATATACACTTCTCCATTGAAATACATTTTTTATTCAGAAATTTAAAGGAGCAATATGCTACGCCAACATCCAACAAATTGTAGTTGAAAGCCTATCGAATATATATCGATAACTTTTCGTATCAATTACGTTATGCATACCGTAAAATTTTTGCCCTTTTTCCTGGATTACAGGGTATACAAAATGCAAGGGCGTCAAAATGAAATTAAAGCCGAGGCTGCGCTGACGACGTGTTGAAGGCTAAACGGGCGCGTGGGCGTATGGCGCAAGGGCGTTTAGGCGTTGGGGTATGTGGGCGTGCCAAGCTGCAGCTGAAAAGCAATAAAAGTGACAGCTAAAGTTGAGTGCGGGCAAAAGTAATGCTTGGTAGCGTCAAGGCGGATGGCTGGATGCTTGGATAGCTGGGCGGCTGGGTGATTGTGTGGTTGGGTGGTTGTGCTCTCTCGAGGTCTGGCAGAGACGTTGGTGCTGACAACACCAAACCGAATTTTAAAAGTAAAACTTTTCCTCTTCCACACAATAGTTGGAAAAATTCCTTTGCCATTTGCTCGGCAAACTTCTGGTGATTTAAAGAGCACAGAAATCAATCCATGAAAGCAAAGTGTCCAAGTCCTATGCCGCACCAAAGTTCAGTATCTTATGCATTCCTCATACGCATCATCAGCTCAACTAATGGAGCTCAATTCGCATGAAACACTCTTAAGCAATTCAGAATGAATTCGCAATAGGCCAAAGTAAACACAGAGTTCACATGAAGCACATGAGTATTAATATCTTTAGATATAGATCCTGTAGAGATTTCAAAAGATATAAGAGCTAGAGACTTCAATTATTTTGTCCGTATATACTGCGCGGATATCGAGCTTATCACCAAAAATCGATAACTCATCCTGTTATTTTTTATCGATAAAAAAGCGTGTCGAAACTCAGTTATTAAATTATATCTCCTAAATTTAAAGATAGAGTCTCCAAATTTTAAATGTATACTTATATGCATTTTATACAATTTCGCTTTTTGTTAAAATTTACCCCCCACCCCTATATCCACCCCTTACCCACATATTTGTAAAAGGCGTATTTCAAATACTCGAGACGTGCGTGCGTATCTCCCTGTGTGTGTGTGTGTGTATCTGTGTCTTGTGTGAGCAGAAAGACGCGAAAAATGATTGAAATAGCTATTGCTCGAAGGGTTCAGGTGATCTCGTAGTCGAGCAGTCTCGCTAGAGCTTTCTTACTCGTTTAAGGATATGAATCTCCTCTATTGATTCTCAAACATATTAATCAAGCTTCAAATATTTTTTTTTTATTTTGATAATTTTTGTGAATTTGTTTTATTATCCTCGAATCGTTTCAATTTGATGTTTATTACTTATTACGATGAAAGCTTATATCTATTAATTGATTGATGCTATTATATTTTGATATCCGATAAGTCCCTGCATGTGTAAAGTAATATATTAATTTTTGGAAATAACCGTTCTATTCCATCCGGGTATGAATGCAATTCCATTCCGTTTCGTTGCTATTGAAACTAGGGAAGTGAGATTTCTTGCGTATAATCATGAAAACCATTTTTTTTATAAGATTTTCCAGATACGCTCTAACGGGGGCGTGAGAAGTCGTAAAATCTATTAGAAGCACGCTTATGTCAAGTGCTAGAGATTTCGCATGCGGAACATATCGTCGCACTGATAGTCCATGATCTAAATAATATCGTGGATTCATCAATCTATTTTACCACAATTTTGATATTTAACTCTACTCTACTGATTTATTATAATTTAGTATATATGCTTGAAGATTCTTGAAGACTTGTGCAATCAGCTAAAGCTAGACTCTGGTCTCTAGACTGAACTAAGAAGTTCCGATAAATTCAGTTTTGGCTAGAATTTGTTTTAGACGTTTAACACTTTATCGGATGTCAGGAAACCTATATCTTAAAGTCCGACTACGAAGAGATCCGCTGTATTCCTTATCGATTGTACTGCATTGCATCCATTAGGGCATTTCAAGATTCTGTCAGCATTTGTTTGGCTGGAGAATAATCAGTTTCATGCGTTGCTTAGATAAGTTATTGGCAGCTCTGACAGGTGCCTGGCAGAACGAGCTCAAATTAGGTTTTTATCCAATGAGATGTGTGCGACATCTGATTTTCCAGCTGGTTAAATCAAGAGTAACGCATTTAACTATGCAAATGACTGGGATTTGCCCGAGGGAACAGCCCAGTTGCCCCGTTCCTTCCCCTTTCCCCGTCCCCTTCCCCCCGTCCCCCAGTCAGGTTCCCCCTTCGCCTCCCATTTTGGCTATGCATATCCATTTCTACTCAATCAGCTGGCATGCAAAGTAAATACATATGTACATATATAGATGATATTGACTCTGCCACGCCCACACGCCCATTCGCCCAATCGACTTTAAAGTGCATTATTCGCCTACATTGGCATACTCATGAGATTACCATATAAATAATATTCAACTGACTTCTGAGTAACTGTGTACATGTGTTGTTCTGTGCATGCGTGAGTGTGCGCGTATGTGTGTGTGTGTGTGTGTGTGTGTGTGTGAGAGAGAATATATAATATCATCTAGCAATTTGTATTGTTCGATGTGTTTGACTCATATGTTGAACGTCAAGCGGAAATGCCTTATTAATGAACATGTTTCGCCACATATTCACCCAGCCACTCACTCACTCTCCTCTCTCTCTCTGTCTCTCTCTCTCTCTCTCTCTCTCCCTCTCTCTGACTCCCTCTGTATGTAGACAGAGACAGACGCAATTTGTATTGCCTACAGTGCACTTTACGTTATTCAAGTCGCGCACAGTAATGGCCAAAATATTGTTTACGCCAGCTTTCGCTAGGCTCACACGAGTATTACATGGGAGAGTATCATCTATTTTCTATAATGATGTATATATACATACATATTGATATATTGATATGCTCATAGATCCATAATTCTGTTTTCATCTATACGAAATATATATGTATATCACATCTTTGGATCAATTAATTTCCATTTGAATTTTACTTCTTTGGTCTATATCTATTTATAATTCGATGAAAAACAAAAAATGTAATATTTATCGCATATTGCGGATCTCGTTAAGTTTTATTTGAATTTTAGGTTTCCTTTTGCCGTTCGCCGTTCGGCTGTCCAATTCCTGTCAAACTTTATTACAGTCATTTCACTTTGGCGTTTGATGTGATTGCAATACGAATGGGTTTCCGTTACGATTACAGTTTCGCAGTTCGTTAAAAAGTTGCGAGGCAAACGAAAATAATAGCAATTACGATGCTCACAATCGGCTGCTTACGACTGCGGGATACTCTTTCAAACAAATATATCATAATGAAAACCCTTAGATATTATGATAGAATATCCCTAGTTGCATATACTTCGTGTATTCGTGCTAAAGCTTGCAGAAATGCGAGAATACATCAAGAAATGTGTATAATAGCATTCTGTCTGATAGAAAATCTATATAGTGCAGTAAAGTATATATACTTCAAATATATTTTGGCCGTTTGAATTTTCCCATATTATTATTCCCATATTATTATTCCAATATACTTATATATTGAGTCTGATAAAAATATTGAAATAACGCAAACAGTACGTTTTATAACGGAATACCCCTATTGTGAAATATAAGTTGCATGAAAAATAAATGCATAAACCTAGATATATATGTAATATATTTTATACTGATTAATTAATATCGCAAATATCATAGCTATCATGTTCTGTGATGGAATACCCTTAATGTGGTGTGTGAGATACTTATGCAAAGTATATTACATTGGAGAAAAGTGCGGAAATGCCTCTTATATTGTGTATATTACTGCGGCTTAGGCTAGAATACCCTTATTGTGGGGCATAATGCGATAAGAATTTAAATAGTGTCGCATATTTTGGGGTTTTACTGCAAATATATTTGGTTGCTGTTGTTCGTGGCACACTCCCAGAACATTGCTGTTGTTGTTATTTTTGTTGTTGCTGCTGCTGCTGCTGCTGCTGTGGTTGGTGGTTCGTGGTTGGCGGGTTTTGTTGTCTGGCTGTGGCAGCAGCTCCAACCATTTGCCCCATAAATCATTTTCGTTGTATTTTTATCCACTCACTCACTCTCTCCCTCTCTCTCTTCCTCTTTCTCGGTCGTCTTTAGCGTGGGATATTGGGAACTCAGTGCAGGACGCGTTTGTCATTGCCGTCGAGGAGCACGCGAGGGAGCGTCTACAGCGTTTGGCTGCCTTAAATCGTGTCACGCCCGTGGATATAACTCAGCTCTCCAAAAAGGTAAGACCCAAATGTATATATTTAGCCACCTAAGAAAGGTAAGCATTTCATCTAGTAACCAGATAACAGCGCCATAATTCCATTAAAGCCCAAACGTGTTTTCATGCAAACTTTGTTGAAATTTTCATTTTATTGAGTTTTATAAAAATTCAACTCTATACAAACTCTTTTAATTATTTATTTAATATTTTATCTAATATATATATAAATATTATGTACCATTTAAATTATTTAATTTAATATGCAATAAAGTTCTTTTTGATTGTCATTGTATCTCGTTTCAATATTTTCCTTTATATAAGAATGTTTTGCTTTCTGTTTTTGCATATAGTATCAAATATTGATCATATTTTCAGTGTTCTTAACCAAGCAAATTTTTAAGAGATCTATCTAAACAAATGAAGTGATTCATTAATTCAACTTGAATAAGAAAACGTACCCGTGGTGCAGCATATACACTGCGCGTCATCAGGTTAGCGCCCCCCTTTACACTCAACCTCAAAGCTAAATAAAATCTAAACCAGCAGAGCTCCATCTTTGAAATTTTTTTACATTATACTCCATTTATTTCTCTTTAAAATACAAAAAGAATGGCTACTGTAACAATAAGAATTATTTTTTAATAATTTTTTTTGTAAAATGTACAAAAAACATGTAACAAAAATTTGGTCATCAGATTAGCGCCCCCTGCGCTAAATTCAATTTATTTAAGTTAATTACCAAAAATAACACCTGTATTTTAAGCTATTGTTATTTTTAAGTAATATTAGTAGTGCGTAGTGCCGTTTTTTGTTTGAAATTACTTAAAAAATTCGATTAGGAATGGAATTATAAAGTTGTTCAATATTATTCAAGGATATGGTTGATTAAGCGTGTTCAGTACCTTCGATTAACTCTGTCTTTGTACTATAATGCTTTCCGGACTCATATACTTTCCTGACCAACCATCCCCAGACGTTTCCAATGATATTAAGGTCGAGTGAGTATGGTGGCCACTCCATGAGATCAATTTTTTGGCCCTGAATCCAGGACTTCAGGGATCGGGCGGTCTGAATTGGGGCATTATCATGCTGGAAAATCTAATGCCGGTTTTCAGACAGGTTATAGAAATGCGGAACAGCAGTTTTAAACACGATATTATGGTCCTATGCGTTCATGCGCGATGTCAAAAATTGAAGCTTACAAGCGCTGTAGTAAGATATTGATACCTACACAAATGCCACACCACCCCCCGCCGCAGCGGCTTGGAAACCGTTCCAAATAATGTTCTTCTATGAGTAGGTCATGGATATAATAATTATATCCATCAGTTCCTTCCAAATTCAATTTTTCTCATCAGAAAAGACAACATGCTGCCATTGGGTAGACCACGTCCTATTCGCCCGGCCAAAATTAATGCGTATTTCTTTTCTCAGCATATCGACTGGTGTCTTTTTTTTTACATTCTGTTTCTTTAAGTAATTAACTTTCTTAATTGCTCTTTAGACCGTTGATAAGCTCGTCCTAACACTGATTTTAACCCTAATCTTGGTGGTCGATTCGTGGGAATTCGAAGCTTCTCGAACTAATGCTCTTCTATTTCCTTCTGAAATCACTTGATTATTACCGCTTATATAGTTTTTTCCATAGTTTTCCCTATTTGTAAGAAAATTGCCACTTAGTTTTCTGTTTTTTCCTGATTTTTCAGCAATTTTATGGTTGCATAGTCTAGATTCAAAGTATGCCTCAATCTTTGATTTTCAACCAAAGATAAAACTGTTTCTTTACCCATACTATAAATATATTGAATACTTTGAGCTTCACAAAAAATTTGGTGAGTGTAATTGCCAAAATAAGCAAGATAATTACAATTGCATTTGGGGGCGCTAATCTGATGACGCAAAATAAGTGCACACATTTTTTGCGAAAATAGAGAAGGATAGAAAATAAAACATAAGGGGTTTTCACTCGCGCTTTTTTTTGGTATGAGAGACATATCATATGATGATAATGAAATAAAAAAAAAAGACCAAGATTGTGTGCAATAGGCAAAGAGAAAAACGTAAAAGAAAATGAGTGTAAGGGGGGGCGCTAACCTGATGACGCGAAGTGTATAACAATCTCTTCCATATTATACTAATATGTATATTCTCTATCCATCATATTGGTTAGCTTCAATTAATATCTATAAAATTTTGATATACTTATAATAACAAGTTTGATACTTGAATAATATATGTATATTCAGTTAGCATATAAATAAGCATATCTGCTTAAGACTCCTTCCATCTAATTATATAGTGCATATTGAAGCTAAAGATTTCAAACTGTATATCTTTTATATATTGAGGATATATCGATATTATCTGTCATATTACATCTATGTGGGAAGTATGCATCGATTGCATCTGGAAAGTTCACTTTTGCTGTGGGTCTCGTCGAGTAAAGTTGTATCCCTTCTGAATGGAGCGTGTGTCATATTTTGTGAAGAGTGCCGAGAATAAAAAAAAGTAAATTAATCGCCGAGTACAGAAGTTTTGCATTTTCCTCTGAAATCCCATATAATTTCTATAATATCGGTATATTGTTATGGTTGAATTACCGTTTAAGATAGAGATATCAAACTTTTTATGTAGCTTCACAAATCGCTTTTGTTGTATTTGAGTTTGCCAAAAATGCAATCGTCATACAATATAGTTTCAGATATCATATACATACCTATGAATATCCAATATGAACTATATATGTATATACATATATATCTATATATACATATATATCATATATATACATATCATAGAGCTAATACTTGTTGCTTTGATAGCTTAGAGGTCATGTATACATATATTCTTTACCTATATTTGTATATAATTTATATACATAGATAAGTTATTCAAAACTATTTTCTATAGCAGAAAGAAAGTTGTGAATTCCTGTTGAATGTCGCTTGCCAGGCCATTAAAAGAGAGGGAAACATTTTAAATTGGAATTAAATTTCTGTTGCCATTTCGTAGCGCACACCGACACACACACACACACACACACACCGTACACCTGCGCACCTATAGAGAAAATGGTTTTGAGTGCAAGCAGCTGTGGCTCCTCCTGCCTCCAAGAGAGAACGAGATACGGCACCGCAGGCAATGCGACTGACCATTTCAGCTGCACCTGACCGAGCTTTGGTTGAAGAAAGCAAAAACGTCGTCAATTCAATTAAAAATTTAACAAAGAAAAACAAATACAAATACAAAAGTCACATAGAAAGAGATAAAGAGAAAGAGAGAGAGAGAGAGAGAGAGAAACGGAATGAATAGAACAACTGAAAGTAAAACAAAGCGAACTACTAACGAAATAGCACAGAAGATAGCCTCGAGGCGCCAACACAGCAGATACCCTATAAACATTGAAGCATTATCGAATTATATGCCAGTTCTGAAGGCTTTAGGGACTTAACTTCTATGCGGGGTCTCCATTTTGCTTTATTATAAAGAAATATTTATGGAGATTATCTTCAATTGAAAGGTATCTTGCAGCGAATACTGCGTGCAACTAGAGAATTTATATTGTCTTACTAAAATAGAAAGACAGAGAAAAAAAATGGCAGAGGCAGAGAGAGTTGAGATGTGGAGAGCACAATATGTAGGCAAGGAAATGCAAAAATTACATTTTGTAATATAAAAGAAGAATTGAAGCTCGAGCTCGACTAGAGAATACCCGGTAGCCAGTGCATGGATAGTAGAAGTACCTCTTCGGCATAGCTTATCAAATTAAAATTCGTACAGTTCTAAGTATTTCGAAAGTATATCTGAGTGGTATATAAGATATGACACTCACTTCATAAAGAATCGATTCTCTGAAGGTAACTCTACTCTGAATGGGCACACTTCAAAGAACAGATTTGCTTAGCATTCTAATATCTACACATACCCTCTAATTTACTTTTCATTGTCGAATTACAGGGTATGATGTATTAACAATGAATATTGTAACTATAAATCAAATTCCAGTTGTTTGGCTAATTGAATAAACCTCAGTAATACAATATACATATGTATCAGCGTGTTTGTGTGGGTGTGTGTGGATGTGTATGTGTGTGTTGTGTGTGGCAGTGTGCGCTTGACAGTATTGAAATGCATTTGACAGCTGCAATTGAAGCTTGTGCATGTGTTTGTGTTGTGCTTCAGCATGAGAAAAGTTTTAAGCTCGCTTTACAAAATGAAAACGAGAATATATTGATTTTGAGCAATCTCTGTCTGTCTGTCTGTCTGTTTTCCTATTTCTCGTTTCTGTTTTTCATTTTTTGTTCCATTTCTACCTTTTTAAATGTGCATCACATTTATTTGGCCACGCCCATTTGGGGCAGGCAGCTCTTCGAAGCGACAAATTATCATTTAACAGTTTGACAGTCATTGCACATCATTTACGCTGTCAATGCTTGTCAATGCATTTGCATTTATTGCCTGCAAACTGCACATTAAAGGTATTCCCCAAATGGAAAGTTCGAATGCCACTGAGTGATTGAATGGGAAGTGAATATATTTCAAGTACTTAACAATTATGCCAAAAACTTGAGAGTGAGATTGGAAATGAGAAATCAACTTTTTATTTGACTAAAACTACATATATAAATAATTATCTAATTACAAATAATTATTTAATTTAATTAAAAAAACTATCTCACACTTAGTTTTTCAATTAATTGTGTTAAAAATATAAATAATATAACAAGTTGCACAGCATTTGCCTTTACTAAAAATTTATTTACTGAGCTTAATTTATTTATATTTAAAAAAAAAGCTTTGATGCATTTTTTTGTGATATCTTCTGAATGTTTTTGGTTTTATTTAATATTTTGTATGCTATTTATTTATTATCAATTTTAATATATATTATTTTGTATTTTAATTCTTTATTTATATTTTTGTTATAAATTTATATACATATTATTATTTCGTTCTTAATATTTGATCTGAAAATGTGTAATTACAATTTAATTTAATTTAATTAAGACGATGTTAAACACTCTTAATTGTCTTAATGTTAAATATAATAATAAAATATTATAGCTCATAGCATCGTACAATATTTTTACAATTTAATAATACTTGTATATTGTGTTTTGTTTCATCAATTTTTTTTTTCTTTACAAATCGAGCATTACGCAACACTGTTGTTTTTAAACAGAGCAGAAATCAGACCACAGGCATTTCGTGGGCAAGAAACGGATTAAAACTATTGGAATTATTTTCAAATCTTATTGTAAGGCCAAAATGTCATTTTCCAGTTAAGGCTTGAAGGCATACCAATCAAGCCTAAAGTCCCTTAAAATACAATAGGAATACAAATTTGTTTCCTAATTCGTTTGTTAGACAATTGCAATTGCTTCTGGTTTCAGATGGGGCAAAGCAAGATTTTGATTGAATTCAGTTGAATCAATCATCAATCACACAAAGTAGATGGTGTCTGTATCTATCAGCTTTCGCTCGGTTGGTTGGCTGGGCTTGATTCGAGAGGTTTTGAGTGCTATTTCTTAAGTGGTGATTCGGGTACGCTCGATGCTCGCCAAGGCTCGATTTATTTGGGGACAGACGCTGACTGCAGCCGACGAAATGAAGTCTCGTCAATAGGTTATTGCCAGGCCAAACTGAGCGGAGCCCAGGCGAATCGATTGAAATGCGATAAGTGCTTAAGTGCAGCCTCTTCTCGGGCAGATCGACCGGGCTCCAGTTGCCAGGACGTGCTCTGCTGCCGACTGATGAGCGGCGTATCCCTCCATATACGCACACGCACCCAGAGCTACGCATATGGAGCCAACAGCTCGCCTTGACTGTCAATAATCCGATAAAATGTGGATGAGAGCGGAAAAAAATAATGGAATGAATGAATGAATGAAACGGCAACGTTGATGACAGAACTGAATAGATGAGCAGCAGGGAGAGAGGGTGGTTGGGGTACAGCGGGTAGATTTTGAAGTTAACTGAGTTGGCTTGAGTTTTGTGGGCAGGGCAACCGAATGGATTGGTCTGAGAGTCGCAGCAATTGAACGCACAAGTGGAATGTGCACGAAGCGTGAAGCATTTTGTTGACGGCAGCGGTCACAATACAGATTAGAGTACGTACACACACACACACACATATATATATATATATATTGTATATATATATATATATATATATATATATATATATATATATATATATATATATATATGTATATATAGGTATACCTATATCTATATCTAGTTGTTACATATAGACCTATACATATGTACATATGTGTATGTATTTTGCATCCGCGTGGCTGGGCAGCCTCACAGTTTGGCAGCTGCTGCCCCACCTGTTGCTGCGGCGGATGCGGAGCAGCGGAAGTGCTGTGAATGTGAAGTCGTGAATTGGTGTAGGGAACGGAACTGGTCGATGTTGACATTCATCAGATGAGCAAAGCACGCAGCTAGCTCTGATGCCAACTAAAGACTTTTGATTTGCAGGCTCGTTCGACTGCCCACTTGGGGACTTGTTCGGCTGTCTCTGGCATACAGTTTGACAGGCACTGTGCGGGCGCAGGCTAATTGCTCAGCCAGCTCTGCAATGCGCCGGGGTGCGGCCAATGTCTGGGTCTGTGGACGCCTTTTGTTGCCAGCCCACGCAGGCAAGGCAGACGGCGCTGCCAAGGCACACCTACGCCTGTGACACATGCGAACAAAAGCCTCTAAATGCTACAGTAAGCACTCGCCAATATGTGACTAGCCAATATGTGATAAAGCAAGACAACTCGGCCATGTGCCCCATTGCTGTTTCATCACATTTCATTCCACAAATATTATGCATTGCTGAACGTGTATCGATTTCATTTAATTCCATTTCTATACAGAGGAGCTACAAGTGCTCCATTCCATTCGTTTCATAAACCATTGAGGCTGTGAAATTATGTAATAAAATATATGTGAACGGTGTGTTATTCCTGTTTGTTTTCAGTAGTTTTTCAAGCAAGTGGTTTGATTCCATTTCGTTCCATGGCACTTCATTCGATTGGAGACCAGTCCTAAGTAAACTTTACATCTATTTTGTACAAATAAAAGCTATCGATAATTATCGATATTAAATCAATCTTTTCTCTATGCAGAGTTGAAACACTGAGAATATGCTGACGTTTTCGCTGGCTTTTACTGTAGGCGTATATTATTAATGCCTATTAAATTTAGAGCTCTGTGACGTACACAAAGCTAAAGCAAAAGCCAAAGCAAAAGCAGAAGCAAAAGGCAACGCAAAAGCCAACGCTTGGGCCCCGACATTTTTGCCTTTTGGATTATTTTCGCTGGTTTCATTTTAATGAAATGTTGATTGATTTGCATTTGCGAATAAAGGATCACAGCAGCGCTTAATATATTTATGTGTGCGCCTAAATATATATACGTAACACCCCATGGGCGCTTTTATCGTCTACGCCACGGACGACAATCATCACAGGAGACGGCGTGCCTAGAATATCTCCCATACTTGCGCCGTCGACGTCAAGTAATTGACTTTGACAAACATTTGTGCGCACCTCGCATTAAATGCGTTAAATCGATATTTATCGGTTTGCTTGCGAATGACTTGGGAAAAGCCAAGCTATGCCTTTTATTTCTGGTATTCATATTTAATATACATTTATGGGTATATATGTATATGTAAATATCGATATATAAAGAGTCGTTAGATTGTTGTACCGTAATAACGGTTTGCTTTTCTTTTGATTTTTTGTTTTAAATTGAATACATTTCAACAAAAATCACTCTCTCTCTCTCACATTCTCTGTGTGTGTTCCCTCTTAACTCACTCTCTCTCACATTCTCTGTGTGTCTGTCTCTTCTTAACTCACTCTCTCTCTCTCTCTACGATTTCTCTCTTCATTTATCTATTTTTCTTCATTTTCTCTCTCTTTCTCTGTGTGTGCCTTTCACTCTCTTTTCATTATTCACCCACATAACTCGTTAAATTCTCTTTACTCTCTCAATTTGTGGTTGATTTCCACCATGGCATCGCACACGCAGCTGCAGCAAACGAAAAGCGGCACCACGACCAGCCAAAAGCAGGATCTCAGCTTCTTGAACGAGACCACGCCCATCTATGTGACGTCCTTTAGCAGCAATCAAATTACCTGTAGCAGCGCCACGATGACGACGGCCACAGCCGGCGGCCCCATCAGCGCCCCCTCGTTGGCGCCGACCACGGCAACGGCGACGACAGCGACGCCAACGGCAGCGCCATCGGCGGCCTTGATGAGTGCCGCCGTGGCAGCGGCGACAGCGGCAGCAGCTGCTGCCGCCACAGCAGCAGCCAACACCGAACGCAGTGCTGAGCGCAGCTCGACGACGGCGGCGATCGTGGGGGCCACAGCGGCTGCGGCGGCGGCAGCGCTCAAGCAGCCACCGGCGGGCAACAAGACGAGCAGCGCGACCGGCCACATCTATCAGACCAGCCAGGCGCAGCAGCAGCAGTTGCAGCAGCTGCAGCAGCAACTGGCAGCGGCTGCGGCGACTGGGAAGCCGCTGCAGGCGAAGTCGCTGCTCGCCAGCAGCTTGCAGCACCTGGCCGAGGAGGTGGACGACGAGGACATGGACGACGACGACGATGATGTGGATGGTGCCAACTACTGCGGCATCACCTACATCAGCTACAACAACAAGCACGCTCAGCTGCCGACAACAACGCTGCCAGCAACAACAACGCTGCCCGCTGCGGCCGCAACGCTGTCGACCACAGCGGCGATCCATCAGCAGCGGAAGGCGCAGACGAAGACGCAGGCAGCGAACAGGCCGTCGCCGCTGCAGCTGGGCAGCGATGCTGTTGCTGGTGCCGCTGCTGGCGGTGCGGGTGGTGCGGGTGGTGCGGGTGGTGCGGGGTGTACCCACTTTGTCGATGCCCAGACCTCAACATCGCCGCTGGCAACTGGCGGAACGAGCATCGTGACGGCGGCCGAGATTGCCTTGCCGGCGCACGGACAGGGGCAAGGGCAAGGGCAAGGGCAAGGACAGGGGCAGGGACATGGCACAGGGATGGGCAAGGGCCATGTGCATGGAACGACAACGCCCAAAACGGAGTACTCGACGGCCATATCCAGTGGACAGCTGCAGCAGGCGTTTGCTGACTTGCAGCAGCACAGCAGCAACACGAGCAACAACAACAACAACAACAACATCGCCAGCCAACTGCATCAGCAACAGCAGCAGCAGCAGCAACAACATTTACTTTTAAGCAACAACAATAATAGCAATAATTGCATCACATCTGGCAACATCAGCAGCTGCGCCAGCAGCAACATCGGAGCGTCCGCTATAAAAAATTGTGATCTACTAATATCGAATAATTTGTATCCACCGCGACGAGAGGTGAGCGAGCGACAGCAACTGTTGCTGTTGCTCAAGTTGCAACTGTTGCATGTCTCTGGTCTTGTCTTCATTATGATTTGATTTGATTTGATTTGATTTTATTGGCTCATGTGCTTAATTCGTTATCTAATGCAATCTCTCTCTATTCCCCCTCTTCCTGTCTCTCTCTCCCCCTCCCTTTCTCTCTTTTAGTTACTAAGTACGCTTAATGATGACATCACTGTGCATCAGTCCAGCGATTGCCTTGGCCAGCCGTACAATACAACTGCAGCGCTGCCAATAGCTGGCATCAGCAGCAGCAGCAGCTGCAGCCAGCAACAGTTGCCCTTTGACCCGCAACAGCAGCAACAGCAACAGCAGCCAAATAGTCCCACAAGTAGCATATCAAAAGGAAGAACTGAACTCTTACTTGGCGATCAACTGCTGCGACAGGAATCACGGTAAGTCCGAATTCTGGTTCTGGTTGAGTCACAAAGAACTAGTTCCAGAAAGCTATGCAGCTCAAATTAGATTTAACTTATGTTAGTGAACGTAAAGTAATACAGGCAAAGAAAACTAAACTTAAGTTGCAATGAACTAGTTCCAAAAATGTATATGTGATATTATAGAATAAATATCGTCAAAAACTAAAAGAAGTGTTCCTAAATATGAACTGGTTACAAAGATATTTAGAACTAGTTCATAAGCTAAGCGCCCCAAGGTAGGCAAATTCTTTTAAAGAAAGTACCACGAACTTGTATCAATTAACAACTGGTTCATGAACTATTCAGCTAAAACTTGATTTCATTTAATTGAAATAAGTAAATAAAATCGAAGCACTATAGAAGAAAAGTGCACTTCGGTTCATGTTAATGTTCAGTTGGCATCAATTACTTGAAATAAAACTATGTTAAACAGTCAAAAGACCGAAAGATAATAGATCCCTAGTTAGTCAAAGCATTGCAGTCAGATGCTGCCGACTGAATGATTCTACACAGTTCTTACAATTTTTTATATGTATTGCAAAATCGGGGACATCTTTCAGCTTGATAGGTCCAACGACCCTTCCATATAATATACATATGTAGCTCTATCTTGGAGGACCTAATTTTTTAAAACTGTGATAACACGTAATAGGTTGATATATATGTAGGACTATAGAATGGCTTCCGACTCATTGATTATTGAATAATATGATTAATTTAAACTGCGCGATTATTAATATCAATTTATCGATTAATTAAATGATTTATAAAAATTAATTTCAAAGGTATTGTATTGTAAACTAATTTATTCAATGCTGCAAAAATACATGTAAATATTTATTGATTAGGCTAGAATTTAGAAACAATAACTTCGAAAGATATGTGATGGTCGATCTATTCCTTTTTTTTCGACTTTTTTTGACACAAGTAAATCGGCAATGCATTGAATGGAAGCAAAGTATTCGATTATTGTCATATGATTAATCGTGCCATCACTACTCTTACTTATAAGCGAGTTTAAGTACTTCAGATTTAAAGAGAATTGTGCAATATATCCTTATTAAATTGTTATCTCTGAAATGAATCTGAATCACAATAATATCTTCACATTTATATCTTATCATATCAGTCTTATCATACAGTTGAACAGTCACTGTGTCTCAACTAATCAGCCATGACATAAAAACTGTGGCCTATGCTGCAGGCATCGCACTAAATGTGTTCAGCGCGATATTATCTGTGAAATATGCACTAAATTTGCATTATAACATCAATGTATATTAATATTTAGAAGATATGAAATGCTTAGAAACAGCATTTAAATTAAAATAATCCAGATTCTTTATGTAATTAGTCTGATGCTACATCCAAAGTAGAGCAAAGTAATTCCAGAATTGTTAAGTTTAATGATTCCATTTATATGGCAAATTTGATGTTTGGATCTTATACTCTTCAAGAACTTAGCAGCAGATTTTTTTTATTAAAAATAGGATATACATGTCATCTTTTATTTTCAATCATGAATTTATAATCTGTACCTAATCTTGAGTTTGGGTTTTCGGCAAAAGTCGAGTAAATCAAAGCCAAAGGCAGCAAATTTGTTTTGCAATGCGACACCTGAATTCAATTCTGGGTTTCTACAGGTCTTCTAAGGCTTATTTATGTTTATAAATATTATATATATTTATAAAGAGTTTCTTTTTCACTTCCACTTTCCAGACTTTTTCTGGACTGATTATCAAAGGGCAAACATTATGTTTTCAAACTTTACATTTCTGTAATGGGAATTCTGTTTATACTGATTCTGTTAAAAATATGTATAGCAAGCAGAAGAGGCGTGGCAATACATATAATGCATATATAGTCTTGACCAAGACGATGAGCTCAGTGTAGATAGCTATGGAGTCTTTCCCTCTATTTGACCGCCCAACGGTCTATCTGAACTTATAAACCGCATATTTCTATAATGCATATAATATATATTCCCATATATACCATATTTATATTATGCATATTTCTATATACAATACGCAGGTTGAGTTTATTTTGTCCTATTTACTTTTATTGAAAAACTTTATATACGTAGAGGTAAATAGATAAATATGGAGCTAAATGAACTCAACTGCAGATTCAGATCAAGATTCTTTGTATACGCATTGAAGCCATAGATGCTCAGTTCACTATTCACAGATTATTCAAAACCTTTCACTCGATAGTAAAAACATAAATATGAGTTCTAGGAGTTGATTCCATGCATAGTGGTCAGAGCTCAGTGGCTTGCCAACTAGTCGTGTTCAGCGCCTGTCAAACTGCATTCGTAATATGCGAATTCTATGCCGTGCGTATTTCGTGCTCTCTGTCTCACTCTCCCACCCCTCTGTCTCTCTCTCTATATATATCTTTCTCTCTGGCTGTGTGTGTGTGTGTACGTTTGTTTGTTTGTTTCTCTATTTGCCAAGCATTTATTACCGTTTCGCCAGCTCCGGAACTTCCTGCAATCGCATTCGCATCCTCGTGTTCTACCTCTTCGAATGGAAATCATGTGCGCCATGGAAATAACCCAGCACATGTGTCTATGTCTTAAGCGTGTCTGCAACTGTGTATGTGTGCGTGTGAGTGTGTGTGTGTGTGTGTGTGTGTGCGCGCGTTGTTTTTATGACTGCTTATTTATTTACTTGGTTGGTTCTCTGGGTTTTCCAGCTGGCTGGTTTTGGCCTCGTCCTCGTCGACATCCTTAGCCTCGTCCCGCTTCTCAGACTTATTCTTCTTCTTATTCTTCGCCTTCCCATGCTGCAATCGCGTTTCGCCTTTGGCTAACGCACATATTTTTCACACAATTTTTTTTTTCGCAACGCTTCTCTGCAGGTATCTGTCTATACACACCCATACAAATATATATATATAGTATATTATATATATAATATATATATTCTATATGTATGCTTGTGTGTGGGTGTCCTTGTCCATGGCTCTGCTGTCTGCCTTTGGCTCTGTTGTGATTTCGCTTGCATGCAGCCCATCATCGACCTATCCAAACCACGATTCGCCCCTCGACAGGCAACAGCCCACCAGCTAGCCACCCATAGTGAACCTGCCACCCAATGCCCGTTGCCTCGAGCCCAGCGCCACGCGCGCTCTCATTTTCTGCTCGTTATTAATTAACGAGTTATTTACCACACCCAGTGCTGAATATTTATAAATTTTTAAATCGATTTTCCTTCCTTGAAAGCTCTTCACATTTTCAACTTGTTGCTCAGAAAGATGCTAAAATCTATACAATGCCATTATATATGAAAGCAAAATTTGAGCTTCATCTCAGCGAAGACCTGAGACATGGCAAACGATTTCCACATTCGATTATTTCCAATTATTAATGGAAAACTCCAATTCCACCTGGGCCTCACATATTTCATACATGTATTAAGACTCACGCTCATGTGAGCTAAGCTCAAACTTCTCCAATCTGATTGAAATGTTGAGATAAAGTCCGCCGGGATGGGCGTCAAAGTATCTCAGAATATTTGATACATATAATTAATATGATCTTGTATTATTTATAGCAATAGATTAATAGAATATTGGAAATTGTATTTTTATTATAAGTACTTCATCAACTGTGGTATTAAAATATTCACTTAATACAAAAATTAGTTTCTGATATACATACATACATATGTATGTATGTATATCTTCCATGTATAAAAGCTCTTTTTGGACTCATTTTGGGCTCTTCAAATACAAATGCATCTTTGTAAAGAGAAACAATTATTGAGCCAAGCTCAGTATGAGCATCATAATTTCAGTAAATCCCTCCTAGGGATATTGAATACAATGGAGGACAAAAGTATTTTGACAACACATTGCAAAAACTTAAACCGCTTATTTCTGCGTGCTGAGAGAGCTAACAGTACCCATTATATTTTTCAGAGAGAGCAAACATACTAGGCTTTAAGTGACCAAAATATTGAATTGATAACATGACTCATTATTTTTCTATAATTATTTGCATGGCGGATTGTCATTATTTGGCTGGACAAAAGTATTTTGACATTCCTGTTCAAATTCATTTTCGGTAATTCGCTTGAATTAAAAAATACGTATTTTTATTTTTAAAGTTATTTTTGGTGTCCTCTTTAATAATAGCCATTAGTTGATCATAGTTTTCGGTAAATTATGGGCAAACAACGTGATTAAGTGAAATCTTTAAAAAATCAATCGGTCACAAAGAATAATGCAGGTATTTCCGTGGAAATGCTTACAAGCTTATAAAATGCACCTCTATGATCAATTTACTACCGAATTAGCAAAAAATAGAAAACTGATTCACTCAAAAAAAAAGGCCAGACCGGGAAAATAATTCAAAAAAACCTGTAGAAAGCCGTATCATGTTAACAAATCTTAAAGAAAATGTTCGGATTTTCCTAAAAGCCATGTCGATCAAAGTCAAAAATAATCATAAATTGTCAGTAAGCAGAAAAACTATCAGAAGTCGGCGAAAGAAGGCCAATTTTTCTACTTTATAGATCTTGCCATACCCTTAATATCACTATAAAATAAACTAAAAAGGTAACGATTTGCTAAAACGTTCATAGGCAAGCCGCAATTCTTCTGGAGAAAAGTATTATGGATGGAAGATTGTACCTTTTAGTATCCTGGATAAAAAAAAAAACGATTTATAGCAGGTTGCCAAAGGATATACGCAAAAAAAGAGTGCTATGTACGAACGGGTGTCACATGGTGAAGAATCGGTAATGCTCTGGGGGCTCACATGTGTCGATAGCCTCTCCAATTTGATATTAATTAATGGAAAAATGAATAGGGATAATTATTTACGTGTCCTGAATGACCACTCATCGAATGACGGTTACCGGCTCATTGGAAAATCGTGTATACTGCAGCAGGACAATGATCCATGCCACGAGGTCCATATTATAATTCAATTTTCGGGGAATATTGAAGTCAATACATTAGATTGG